ATGAGGCTTGGAGCTCCAAAAATATTGCAGAATGCGTATTCAAAAAAATTTGCACTTTTTAAATTAGGTCATTCAATAGTTTTCTCTTTTACAGCAAATAATTATAGCGGACAAAAGAGTAGCTACACAAGCACATAAAATTCATATAAATACATTTGAATGTTCAACAATATCCATACGATATATGTTACTAATATATTCTATATAATTACTGTACATGTATATACTTTTGTATTGCATGAAGATTTGAGGATCGAAAGCTTTGAGATTATAAATCATGCAGTGAAATAGCTATATTGTGGAATACATTATATTTAAACACCAACATGTCTATAATACATCAAAACACGCTTTCAATCGCATTTATCAACATGTATAAAATATATTATACTATTATGTTTATTTGAGATATCGTCACAGTTAAATTTTTTTAAAACAAAATTATTACACGCGATTCTAAAGTTGCAAATCTAATAATGAAACGTTCGTATGAAAATGCCATATTTTCAGTTGTTTTAGAAACTGGTATGCTTCCGATAATTTTCTTTCCAAGTTACTGGTTTTATGGAAGATAGCTTAATATACAAATTTTCTTTTTGGTTTCAATATATATATATATATATATATATATATATATATATATATATATATATATATATATATATATATATATATATATGTTTAAAAATTTGTAATCCAGGCATATTTGTTTATCAATGAAAAAATATATATATATATATATTTTTTAAAATATAAAATATATATATATATATATATTATATATTATATATATTTATATATAATTATATATATATATATATATATATATATATATATATTATATATTATAATATATATATTATATATATATATATATATATATATTTATATATATATAAATATATATATATATATATATATATATATATATATATATATATATATATATTTATATATATATATATATATATATATATATATATATATATATATATATATATGTTTAAAACTTTGTAATCCAGGCATATTTGTTTATCAATGAAAAATAAATATATATATATATATATATATATATATATATATATATATATATATATATTTATATTATATATATATAATATATATATATATATATATATATATATATATATATATATATATATATATATATATATATATATATAAATCCGGAGAACTTTCATTGATAATGGGATTTCAATCATATTACACAACATATGCAATTCTAATTAGATTTTGGGTATCTATCTATATATCTATCTATATATCTATCTGGGGCCAACGTTTTTGCAAATGGGTATATATATATATATATAGAGCTCACTCGCTCAATGTCGGTTGTATCATAGCAACAGCTGAAAGAAAATAATGGCAATCAAAAATCACTGCACGAAATTGATGAACTTCACTGCGTTGGGGAACACATTTAAGCGTCTTTTTGGGCTTTTAAGATGCGATGTGCATAAAGCAAGAGTCTTTACGAACCATCTTGGACTTGGTCATTTGCCGATGTTTGCCAACAACGAGCAAAAATTCGAGCTCTAAGGTACGTAATATGCCTGGACTATAAACTTGATTATAAAATTTTAATCGTTTAAATATTTTTTCCCGGGAACTTACAAGGTATCTCGGGTTGCCCTCAAATTTTCAGTGTTTAAAGATCGATGATGTTTTGGACGTGGACTGGAATGATTTTTCAATTGTGGATTAAATAAAAAGCAAATTAAAATTTTCCCCCCTCATTTCTTAAGCGCGACGGCATGAATATTGAGTTTCTAAGTCACGCATGCTTGGTGACCATGTTGGCCTGCATTTCTGACCATGCTGATATCATGACGTAAAGAGGCGCGTCGACAATACTGTGCCCAATATCTCAATTTTGGCGAGGATCTAGGAACTCTCGAAACTGCACATCATAGTTGAACAGCTTAACATCTCAAATATCTTCAATGAACTTATGCAGCAAATACAGATGTACGACAAACCTGGCAAACTTGACTTTCTTTTGAGAATTTTCCTCTCTTTGCCACTCTCCTGGTGTGTAACACTGCAACCTGCGCTTAAAAGATTAGATCCCAACGACTGGAGGTTTGATAACAACTGTGGTGGCGCTTGCTGGATGTCCCGCTGGCAAAATAAGGGCCCGGGGGTGTTGCGGAACATCCGGAATACGGAAAATTGCCAAAGCAGAGGAAGAAACGAGCGAAATTATTCTCGTTATCGAAACCTGAGCTCCTTACTATTGCGTATAGGAAAGCACGTCCCGTTTTTGAGTTCGTAACATAGGCGAGGCTGTTGCACATGTATAGCTGCCATGTCAAAAATAGGGAGTTTAAGCAGCGCCTATATAATTATGAGTACGAGATTTGTCATTCTCGGGCGTTGTCTGCTTACGCTATCAGGCGAAACTCGTATAGTCGCTGGGTTTTTGAGTACAAGTTAATTGGTAAATTTCGTACCCGAAAGCCCAACGACTACGAGTTTTAGCGGCTGGCGTATAAGCAAACAACGCGTGAGAATGACGAATCTCGTACTCGTAGTCACTGTTAAATCTACTTAATATTCATTTTTTGTAAACTTACGTTCTGATTGGTCGATTTGTACCACGTGAGTAAATGTTATATAACAACAACGCCACGGCAGTGCCGTTATAGGATTTATTGCACTATCAAAATGGCGGCAAGAAACGAAAAATTTGCCCAGCTTAGTGAGGAAGAAATCAATAGATCAATCCACACCCAAAAATACTAAACGGGCGCCCGTTTGGGGTGTTTCTGTATTTAAAGGTAAGCATGTGTTGTTTAGTTAAGTTTAAAAATGATATAAAGTGGCGAAGAGTGATTAAGTAAAAAAGACTCGAAATGACAAATCATGCATATATTTGCTTTACGATTTAATTAACAGATTGGCTATCAAGGAAATACCCTCAAGAAACTTTGGAAAGTTCCGCCCCTGATATTCTTTGCCAGAGATTAAAGAAGTTTTATCAAGAGCTGAAAAAATCACTAAAAGATCACTGCAGTCCGTCAGCACATCTGTCCATTTGTGCAGCACTTGACCGATACCTGTCTTCATTGCCAGATTTCAGCAACATATCTATCATCTGAGACCAGAGTTTCAAGGCGGCAAATAAATCTCTGAATGCCAAACTAAAGCTGATAAAGTCTGAGGGACAAGGCAAAGTCCATCATCATTCGTCTATTTCGACAGAAGATATTAAAAAGTGCTACGAAACGAAAGTGTTTAGGGACGAAACGCCATTAAGTTTACTTCCCGTAAACTGGTTCAATATAAGCCTTCATTTTTGCCGCCGAGGCCGTGAAAATCCCTCGAAAAAGGTCCCTTACCAAAGAAAGTTTTGAGATTAGACGAGATGGGAATGGTGCAGAATATGTGGCGATGACTCGCAGCGAGAGCACAAAAAACCATCAAGGCGGGCTTGCAGATAAAGCAGTTGACGAAGGAGATCCCAAAATGTTTAGCACTGGGACTATGCGGTGCCCTGTGATATATTTCAAAAAGTTCCTCGCTGTTCTTAATCCAAATCAAATGGCTCTGTTCCAGAAACCTAAAAGAAATTTCACCACAGCTGATCAGATCTGGTTCGAAAACAACCCAATTGGCGTAAACAGTATAGCAACTATGATGAAAAAAATTTCAATCGATGCAAATTTAAGCCAAGTTTACAGCAACCATCGTGTGAGGTCAACCACCATTACTGCTTTGGACGTCGCGGGAATACCCATTCACAGAATCATGCAAACCTCTGGGCATCGAAATGAAGCAAGTGTGAAATTCTACTGTGACAGACAAACCTTGGATAAAGACAAAGAATCTTCTAATATTCTTGCAAGATTTGGGAACGAATTGCAAGAACAAGACAAACATGAATGCGACGTTCGGGAAAGCCACAGCGAGAGCGAGACTTGCGGGAGTCAAGTGCAAAACAACATTGTCGCCAACGTGAATCAGTCCCCGACATTAAATTTCCTTCGCGATGCAACATTCAATAATGGCAATGTCACATTTAATATTGTTAAACAGTAGAAAGCTTGTTTACAACTGAGGTAAATATATAATAAAAACGTTTCGGGTTGTTGTGGACGTTCGGTTCAGAAAATATGTTTATCTCTGTTAGATGTCAATAATTTTGTAGCTTATATGGCTTAATTATAATGTTATTATAATATTCAATTTGAATGTTAATATTGATTGTAAAATATAATTTTATAAATAAACTCTTGTAAATTTTAAAACATTAATTATTTGCTTTCGTTTTTTGAAAATTCTAAAACCGACAAAAGTTTTTAGGAGTTTACTCAAAATGAATATTAAAAGCATTAATGCACTCTTTGTTTGTGCATTATCGGGTTTTACATGCACTCGTTCACAAACAAGGAACTCGAAGTTCAATACTGCACTCGGCTTCGCCTCGTGCAGTATTGAACTTCTCGTTCCTTGTTTGTGAACTCCTGCATGCAAAACCCGATAGTGCACTCACAGAGTGCATTAATCCTTAATTAATGCACGTCTCTCGATGGCCCTGCAAGAAGGAGCGTGAGCCAGGCGTGATAGAAAAGGAACACAACGTATGCAAGCTCATGCATGAAACTGTTGTCAAACTGCTATGCCAAACTGTTGTTCGTATAGCGTTACATTCGTTGTAGGATTGCAGCATACGAGAAAGCCGCAACAGAACGTTGACTGCTGGCATGTCTGGAAACAATGAAAAACATGCGAGTGCCTTCGCTCAAATACTTCGTTAAGACTGCGTTATGAAAACCTAATTAATTATAACAATAACAATGCACACATGATCATCTCCAAATTAACTATCTTTGTTACATAAAATCATTTTATGTTACAACATTTAACTTTCAAAATTTTATACCTAAACTTGAATAGTTAAATCACATATAATAGAGATCCCATCAAAACCTTACGCCCTTTAACGAAACAAAAGTTATCAATCATCGCTTTTACATATATATTTATTTGCATATATGTTTGCAAAATAAGATATATAAAGTTACTAATGCTACGAAAAATCGTTGCTTGAATCAATATACATAACAACCATAAAATTCAACTCTCATTGAGATATGTACATTCCAAGCCGTTGGATGAATGCGAATGAACCGAGCTGAAATATGAGGAATCACCGTGTGATGGACAATGGAATATCCGTCTGTGTTACCTTGGAATTCCTGTAGATATTGGGAAAATATTTGCCACAGTTAGAATGCCGTATTATCCATCGTAATTATCGCTACTCTGGTTTTAATAAATGAAAGTAATCACCACACAAAGATTAACTTTCGCGATCCAACGTTTCGACACTCCGGTCTAGTGTCTTCATCAGCGGTGATCTGATGTTAAAACTCGGTTCCTTTTAATTATTATGCTCTCAAAATGAGGTCATCTATAATCCAGATGTAACTATTGGTTTGGCAAATCGCTTCTTTCATCCCTATTTAGGGCACAAAGACTGGCATTAATATGCCTGGCTTCCAAACAACGCCTTTGTCCATAACGATCATTAGTGGTAATGACTTTTGAATCATTCCACGCAATGTTATTGTTAGTTTGACATTTGTGTTCCGCTAAGGCTGATTTTGAACTGTCTAAGTTGGAAACGGCATTTTGATTTTTTTTTAAACGTGTGCCAAACTGGCTTTTTGTTGCACCTAGATACTCTTCCTCAAAATCACCGCATAGTATAGAGTATACAGCATGAGTTTTCTGTTTAGTGCTTACGCTATCCTTGGGTTTCGCGTATGTCCGAGTGTCTGAAAGGGTTTTAAGGCAACTTTTATACCACAATGATTCAGGATTCTCCTGATTGGATCAGCAATTCCCTGCATATATGGAACTATGGCAAAACCTGTTTTTGAGGAATCACCCGCTGAGGAATTGCATCTGGTCGGCACGGGGTATTTTTCGAGAGTATATAAGGAACTTAGTTTCAACATCAGATCACCCCTGATGAAGACACAAGACCGAAGAGTCGAAACGTTGGGTCGTGAAAGTTAATTTTGTGTGGTGATTACTTTCATGTAATAAAACCACTGTAGCGATAATTACGATGGAATATATACCTAATTGCCGTGAATTCATTAACATCATGCCGTATTATATTAGCTTTTATTAATAGGAAATAACGGGAATAATTGCACGTAAAAAATTTGTACATGCAATTAGGGTCTTTTTTGGGGGAAGATTGGGGAAAGGAATATATGTACGCGAGTAATCGTGTTATATATATTGGCGGTGTAGCTTATAAAAATACGAAGTTAAAAGTTAAAAATAATCGCATGATGATTGTTTTATTTCCCGTTGCGGTGTTTTATTGTTTTATTATTATGATATAATGATATGTCATAATAATAGATCGAGTGGACTCGCGTACACGCGCGAACGCCACGAGAACGAAAACATTTCTGGGCTTGCCTATGATAAGAAACATACAAAATTCACGTTTTCAAGAAACTATCTTAAGAGGTCTTAACAATCTTTGGCCTTAAAGAATAAAAACATGTAATGGCGATAGTAGATCTGTGGCAGCACACACTGTTAATTCAAAAGAGTCATTTTGACTCCTTCAAAGGAGTCGTTTTCTTGACCCCAGGACGACTCCTTGAAGAGAGTCATTTTGACTCATTTTGGGTTGACACCTGTAAAGAGTCATTTTAACCCTTTAACTAGAGTCATTTTGACTACCCATGGAGTCGTTTCAAAATGACTCTTGCAACAGTTAAAATGCAAATTAACTCCTCAAAAGTGTCGTTTTAAAAGAGTCATTTTGATTTTTGACTCTCCTTTGGCATCAATTTTACTCTTATTTGGAGTCATTTCGACTCCTTTTTGTCATCGATTTTACTCTTCTTTGGGGTCATTACGACTATTCTGTGGCATCAATATTACTCTTATTTGGAGTCATTCGACTCTTCTTTAGCATCGATTTTACTCTTATTTGGGGTCATTACGACTCCTTTTTGTCATCGATTTTACTCTTATTTGGGGTCATTACGACTATTCTGTGGCATCAATATTACTCTTATTTGGAGTCATTCGACTCTTCTTTAGCATCGATTTTACTCTCATTTGGAGTCATTTCAACTCTTCCTTGGCATCAATGTACTGTTATTGGGGTCATTTGAACTCTTCTTTAGCATCGTTTTTGCTCTTATTTGGAGTCATTTCCACTCCTCTTTGACATCGATTTTACTCTTATTTGAGGTCATTACGACTATTCTGTGGCATCAATTTTACTATAGTACTGTACACCAATATTAGTTTCATGAAGCTTGCATATAATACAAAAGCAGAGTTTGGGTATATGCAGTGAGTATTACAGCATACCATACATGCATCCCGCAAATATGTTTCTTTGAAGAGAAATTTATATAATAAATATCTATATATAAGCATGCAGGCTTTAAAATATCGGCCAACAGGCCATCTGTCAAATGTCCGGTGTCTTTAAAAAATGGGTTGGGTATACATTTTTAAAATTAAAATATGGTAAATGGCCATATGTTAGCAGCAACTAATTAAGTAATGGTTTAAAATCGAATTTTCAAACGATTAAAACAGTACAAAACTTCAGAGACAAAGAAAAAGCCTCAAATGTTATTTTATTCTGTAATTATAGTCGACGGCTAAACGTTTTATACTTCATAGTGTGTATTTTTTATATCAAAATTCAAATTACACTTTCAAAAACACTTTTTGAAGTTATAGCAAAGGTGTAATAGCCTTTTGCAGGTTTATCCGTTTGCATAAAAAGCTGAAAATTAAACAAATAAACGGCATACAAAGCTGAAAATTATACAATACAGCTCATCCTTATTGCGAAGCAAATACGAAAGAAACAAAGTAAACACGCACCCTTTGAAAACACTTATAATTAAGCTTGCATGCAGATTATGAATTATTTCTCTTACACGGCTTTCGGTCTTGATTGTATCCCTGTTCATCTTTGGTATCTGTCATGCTTCATATATCTTGTTTCTTCCCGTTTTACTTTGCACAAAGTTTATGAAACGCTTTTACAAAAAGGTTTACGAAATGACAGTTAAATTGCTGACGTTCTCATTGAAATTCAAACTTTCTGTCTTAGCCAATCAGAACGTTTGTTGATTATTTGTCATTTTTGATATCAGCATATACTTACCAGCATGAGTCAGAACTATTAAAATGGATTTATGTATAATATATTTTTATGTGTGCATATCCTGTTCCAGCTGACATTTTCAAGAGATATAAAACCTATATACATGCAGCGTAATATATTTTTTATATTTATTTTATTTTATAAATTTGCCATGTTAAAAAGTTAGAATGAACTACACATAAACTACAAATGAACTACACACATGCAGTGGCTGGAATCACCACACAGAGATATGTCTTCCACAACAAATAGACAGACACAAACATACACATATAAGCAACTTAACAAATTTATAAGACTTTCTCGATACATGAAGAAACGATAACAACTAATATCAAGTTATTTGTGTCATAATAATTGAGTATTTTTTTAATGTGTTGACTGGTTATTTGCTTCAAATACAAAGGATTTGTAATACATGTAACATGCCTAATGACTTCAATTTAATATTTTAAACATGCAAATTATTTGTTTTGTATATAAGTGGCTGTTATAAAAGCCAGAATGACTCTAAGAAAGAGTTCCACCACTCCAACAAAGAGTCATATGGCTCCAAAAACGAGTCACATGACTCCATGTGAACTCTACTTAAGAGTCTATTGACTCTTGCGAGAGTCTTGTGACCCTTCAAAGGAACTAAACGAGTCCTCCGAATTGTCATTTTAACCCAATGTCGGAGTTAAAACGACTATTAGAGTCGAAACGACACATTAGAGGAGTAAAAATGACCTTTTGAATAAAGGTGTTGAAATGACTCGCCCTGGTCAAAACGACTCTTTTGAATTTACAGTGCATGCATATAGACCACACTATTAACGAGTAATCTGCATTTGGCTATCAATTCGAACTTTCATGTTTACTATAGATTATGCAAGTAACATTGATCACTAAAATAAAGTTATTTAGCTTAAAAGCTTCCTTTATAAAATTAATAGTGTAATCTTGAGGCACTTGTTCAGATTTTTTGCGCGCTATCGTATGTTGAAATTTAGGAATTTTTCTGATGCTTTCGCGAATAACATCGCTTTATTTGAATTTAAAAAAAAACATGGCTGCTTCAAAATAACTATAATTCCTTTTGTGTGATAGTCTTTCGCTACACAATACCATGCAGGGTTTATCACCAGCGTTGCAATTCTTGTCACACTGGTAATTATTAATAAACTGCATATTTTGGCGCAACAATTTTTTGCTCCATAAAATATTAATAAAAAATTAGTAATAGATATAAGTTTTGGAGAATACGCACCTTAACTGCTCCATTTTCTAAAAAATGTTGAAATATTTTTCCATCCTGGCTGGAAGAGACGGTGTAGCTTTTAACAAACTGATTATATCCATTGCGTCCTTGGGTACTTATGCCCGTTACCAGAGTAGATCTTTGGAAATCAACTTGTAGCCACTGATTAAGATCTTTGTTCCGCGATGACCATGCCCCTTTTCTTCCATCTCGTGGTGTGAAATTCAATCTTCCATTAGCCGCCCCATGATCTGTTCTCCATTCGCTGAAAGCCGTGATTTGCCTATCAGTAATATTACCGTTTTCCATCCCGAGATCCATTTTGCACGCTGTATCGATCAATTGATTGGTAAATTTAAATTGAAATTTTTACATATTTCATAGTTGGGTAGTGCAGTCAGTCTGGAAACTGTTTTCATGACATGATTTTCCTGCAGATCCTGAACGAAATTGTGCTTTACATGATTCGAAGGTAGAAAGTTGCTTATGAAAAAGCAATCTCATAAAATATCAAATCAACATAAAAAATTCAACATTTTAGAAAAAAAAGCCTAAATTCTGCAGGGTTTCAGAAAATTTTATCGTGTCCACAATTATTCTTATCTGACTCCACTTTTAATTGACTATTTTTTTCGCTGTTAACATTAATGTATAAATAATTCCGCTCCCTCCCACCTAACGATCTTGCAGAGATACTGTTATACTGAACACTCACTCACTAAGAGTCTAAAAACGTTATAGTTAACAATATAATCATAATTATAGAGGCAAAAATAATTATAAAAACAATAATTTTCTCCGTTGCAGAATTCGCAAGACGACTGCTATGCATCTTCAATTCACTTACAAAACAGCTATTGAGAGATTTAGTTACTCTGAAATCTTCCAGCAACAATATTGCTAGTTATGTTATGTACCTTTCATTTTCAATCCATAAATTTATTGTTGTTGCTCGTCGTGTAGTTTTGCGAGTGTACTATTTTAGCCAACATTATAAGAACGAATACCGTTTTGCAGATATTAATTAAATCACGCTTGCTATTAGAATCTTAATTGGGACAGTGAGATTTCACAAGAATAAAAGGTGATGCCAAATGTTTTACTAGATTTATCTTATGATTAATTCCTATGAATACATACATACCTTTTGGAATTATGCAACTTGCATTATAATCCTAAAGTGAAATATAATATACAAAATATTGATATTTTTCATTACTTTCAACATTTCGCAACCTAACTTTTGAATTTCCATAGTGTTCAATTTGGTTCAAAGGGGGAATAGTCAATTCTTAGCCAAACTGTATAATCAAGTTGCACAGATGTTGAGTATAAGCTCGCCATGGTTTTTGTTACACAACTCCTAAACACCATGCATACATCATTATTATTATTGGCGCAAACGATAAGTAAATAAGAGTTTCATAGGAATTTTCCTGCCACCAGCTGATCTAAAATGGCGCGAGGAGACTAGGTTTCAGTGGTTGTGAAATAGAAATCCACATTTTTTGGTTGCATCGATATCTTGTCAATTCATTTCTGATCAAATTTATCTCTATCCAATTTAATTTTCATCACTAAACATATTCACAAAATTTTTATTAGTTTCACAAAGTGCAAGAAAATAAATAATCGGTTAAATACTGCAATTTGGATTTCTATTTCGAGAATCTTTCATGGCGCACGCTGATTGGTTAAAACAAAGGCGCGAGATCAACTGGTATGTTACATGTGTAAAAGTTGTTAAACCACGTTCTTGGGACATTGTAACTTGAATTAGTTCACCTATAATGTCCTCAACTACCTTTGATATTAATTCTTACTACCGCTTGCACGTTGTCTAATATTATTGATATTGATTACACGCTATAAAATAGAACCGACATAGGTGATAGGTTTTAACCTACCAAGTACAATTATACTTCTGATTATAAAATAATCATTAAAATTGTAATACATAAGATGTATTTTACCTTTTTTGGGTTATGAAAAAATACGTAATCGTAGGACGAATTTGCTTCCAACAAGTTCTTTGATACATTGGTGATTACATTGTGCAACATTTCGCAATTATAATCTTCTGAATTTTGTAAGATGAATTCTTTCTTAAAGTTGATTGATCTGCAACACGGTTCTTTGAGGCACTCCCCAGCACAGTCAACCCAATCATACACAAATACGGTTGAGTGAATTGCTGTATTTAGCCTGAAACCTAAAGTTTGCGGCGGAATATTATACTCGATTTCCCTATTTACTCTATATTACCCTCTTTACTCGAATTGAAACCTTCTGTATCAATACTTGTGCTACAACTGCCATAATATGAATACGGTTTTATCTGTACAATGGTATCGGGGGGGGGGGGGTTGTTTGCTGTGGTACCAGAGATCATATGAACAGGGCCTACGAGATACGCTATAAGCTTGATATTGACCTAAGAATTCGCCATAAGAACGCATTGTTCTTTGTTTCATCGGGAGCATAATTCAAACTGTAATGTAGTTGTAATTGTGCATCTGTAATGTAATTATTTTTATAGCAAACCATTCTTAACCACTGATTTAATTTGACTTAATCGAGTCATCATTCTTATTGAAATGTAATCAATGTTACAACGAGAGTGTAAATCAGACCACTTTAACTACGTAAAATTAATGTAGTTAGGAATTTTTCAAACCGGCCCCAGAACGTTAAAGCATTGTCTCATATAAACTGGTCAAGAAATGACCGGAAATGATTTGCATAATCTAGGATATTTCTTTTCTTGAAGTAAAAAAGTTAAAAGTAGCGTCCTGGGTTGGTGTAATCTGTACAAATTTACGACCATAAGCAATTAAATCTGACCTTCGAAACTTGAATCATAGCAAAAGTGCAGACTTGCGATCGTGTCCTCCACCGCTATTGCCAGTGTTAATAAAGGAGTAATGAAGTTTTCTGTGAGCCACATTGCCTATTAGATAAAATATGTTCCTTCAAATGAAATTTCAGCTATCTATTCAAATTTATTTTGCAAATAATTATTACCAATATAACAAGAGAGCAGCCTGGCAGCGTCTTTCAAAAATTCGCAATAATTATGGTAACAACTGCGAGGAAAAGAAAAAAAACACTGCCGTTTTCGGGACTTTTCGACGCTTGTTATTTTTCATAATTTTGCGCGTGCGCAGCCGTTTTATCGCGGTGTTAGTGGGAAAAACTGGCTAACTGCAGCCATTAACTGAGTATGTAATTATATAACTATAATTTATATTACACCGATCGAGTTGCTCAGTACCTAAAGTTTTTTTAGTAACTATTCTCTATACAATGTGGCATTGCTGTAAAGCAAAATCTTTCTTTTACTTTCATTAAAATGTCGTGAAATTTACAAATGAAATTACAACTTAAAATATATATAGTTAAATTTGAACAAAGTTTCTTTAAACGCAATGTCTAGTGCGCACTGTTAATAAACGATTTTTTTTTAGATTTTTTATCATGTTCGTTGGGTATCAAAGTAAAGTTCACCTTAATGTCACTGTTTGCAGGTATGTATTTGTAATGCTATCAATAATACATCATAACTAAGTAGTTGCCGGATAACCGGCATAACTCTTCCAAAATGTGCTTTTCAAAATCGGCCGATGAGATTCTGGGTTCCCGCTGTTCATTGTTAAGTCTATATTTATATCAAATTTATTGAACAATGTTCTAACGGAGAAAATGCAAACGGAATACGAGATCCCATGCAAGGCGCTCCCCCGATTCCATTTACAAAAACAACAAACACACAGAAGAAACATAAGAATAACAATAGAAGAATCGCATCGAAGAATAACAATATGCCACAAGCTCGAAAATCAAGTTGTTGATTTCCTTTTTTCTTGGAAAATATCTAAAATAAGATAGTTGCCGATCTAAGATGATTTAAGAAACAACCAAAAAATGATTTCGAATCAGGCAATAGCATATGTCCTGTTCGCATGTTAATTAAGCTCTATGACATCCACCGATTCTATATGCAATGACCATGTACAGGACTTGTCGACGTCGTAATAAGACACCAATGAATGTAAATACGTTCTTGAATAGAAACGATTTCATGAACATTGCCAGGCTATATGGGGTTGAGCAGTTCTACAGACACAGTTCCATGGAACTGCTCAACCCTCAGACCTACGTAGCCTGGCATTGTTCAGATACTTTGAAATCTATTATTAGCTAACTCTTTTTATCTTAGAACCTGACATTCAAATCAAACAATTTTTTAATCACCACCTCACCTTATGTTGATAATCCTAGTATCTGCTCTTGCTGTACACAAAGGTTGAATTTCCCGACGTAAAGGACAATTCGATTCCTGTATTTGTCAGCGCAGGTGTTAGCACGCAAGCGTTAAAATACGTTTTATTGCTAAGCAACTTAAAAGCTAAACTTTGTTACTTTTAATATAAGCTTCTGCCGTGTCCTTACATTCTCTTATAGAAGTTACTGCCACCTGCAATAATGACGCATTACATTAGTTCAGTAAAGTCCAATTAGCATAAAATAATAATTAGTTGAGGTGCCTTACATGTTAACTATTGGATGTTGTTAATACGTCCCAAACCCATTTCCCACCTCAAATTTTTGCAAAATTCCAGTCCCGATTGGACTTTTATAAGAAAAACCACACTGATTGATTGTAGAAATCCCAACCTTTAAAAAAGTCGAAATCCTAGTTATTAGAACTGAATCCCATTTTCTCAAGATATACAACAATCCCAGTTTCCATGTTACCGCTTCAGGGCTCTGATAATAATTAGGAGGTAATATAAATATGATAACGAGCTTTGATATCATGACTCTTGCACTGTTTGTTCAAAAATTTGCGTCGCTATGACAACTAGCTGCGTTTTTACTTTTAGAGTTTTCGTTCTTTAGATTTTGACAAATTTAACAATAATTATGTCTTTTCTAACACTGCTTCAACGTCATAGCTACATCAAAACCAAATCTCTTTTCGCTAATTCGCTACAGCTGATATTGGATACATTGGTCACTTGAAAGTTACTAAGCATTCGCTGCTGAGCATTTTCTGTTTTTCTTAAATTAAATCCAACACAGTGATGGACCACCTAAAATTCAAAGTTTTTCAATGAACGAAAAATTTAACAAATTCTCTCCTTGAATTATGGGCAGTCTAATGAAACACTAACCCGTTGTAACATTTCCAAAAATGATTGCAATTGAAAGCAAAAGTAGAGACAAAGTAACAATTTTAAACATGCATGACTGTTTTTGTCAAAAGCTACATTATACTGCCCTGAAATAACCTAACACTGCGGTTACGGTTCTGTTGC